TGTACATGTCCAACAATTCCTGCATGATGGAAATATTCTTGTTTATCATGATTATGATTGTTGTTGTTCCAATTATTGCAGGGAGGAGCGTTTAGGAGCTAAACAAGTTGTCCGTGTCCTCAACTCTGACCTGACCATCACGTCACTAAAAGACTCCAACATTCATCGGTTCCAGTATGACCACTGCTTCTGGTCTTTTGATGACATCCAAGCCTCTTTTGCTGATCAGAAAATAGTGTATAATGAGATAGCTAGACCACTGCTGGATAAAGCTTTTGAAGGATATAACACTTGTCTCTTTGCTTATGGACAGGTAAGGATAAGATCATTACTTACATGTACATGTATGTGGGCATTTAAGATGTACATGCACAAATTTAACATGTTATTTTTCTCTTTTGCTTTTATGTTTTTAGACTGGCTCAGGCAAAAGTTACTGGTAAGTATAAAAATAAGTAATTTTTAATTTTAATTTTTACTGTTTTTCATCTTCTCTTGCAGCATAATGGGTGAGCCCTCAGCTCTTGGTGTCATACCACAGTTTGCTAATGAACTCTATGATCGTATTGAAGGGACTGCTGATGAAGAAGTGAGTGGAATACATTTGTATCTTTTATACATGTACATGCACTGTACATGTAGCTCTCTTTTTCAATGTTAATTGTTTTGCATATTACTGTTAATGTTCCTCTACTCTCTCTTCCTTTCTTTCTCTCTCTCTTTCTCTCTTAGACTTCATATAAAGTTGAGGTCAGTTATTATGAGATATACAAGGAAAGGATTCATGATCTCCTGGCATCAACCAAACACAAGAGCAAAACTCATGTAAGACTCCAACTTATCATTATTACACATGTACACTATACACTGTATATACACTATGTGCTTTACCATTGCTATTTTTACTGTATATATATTTGTAGTTAAGAGTTAGAGAACATCCAGTAACAGGTCCCTATGTTGAAGACTTATCAACGTAAGAAAGAAAGAAAGAGAAAGAGAAGGAGAGACAGAAAAGAGAAAGAGGGAAGAAGAAAGAGGGAGAGAGGAGATAAGAATAAAGAGAAAAGAAAACCTAATACTTTTTGTATTTCTCTATTATACATGCATACAGATATGTTGCATCTTCATTTGCTGATGTTGAGGTAATACTAACATTTTGTTTTATTTTATTTCATTATTTTATTCTCCTTTTCTCATGCAGCGATGGCTGGCACTGGGTAACAGGTTCCGAGCCACAGCTGCCACTGGAATGAATGACAGGAGCTCTCGCTCTCACTCAGTCTTCACACTAGTACTCACCCAGACTAAGGTGGGTAATAATCCACTTAAATATCTCATTCCTATACCTTTATACATAGGTGTAGGAATGGGGGGGGGGGCTGGGGGGACTGAAGCCCCCCAACTTTTTCACAATAAGGGCTCAGCCCCCATTGTTCACATGCTAAGTCATGTGTTTTAATGTTGAGCCCCTCCCCCAACTTTTGAATCATTCCTATGCCTATGTTATATCTCATTTCCATACCTTTATACCTCATTCCCATGCCTTTGTATCTCATTCCCATGCCTTTGTATCTCATTCCCATACCTTTATATACCATTCCCATGCCTTTATATCTCATTCCCATGCCTTTATATCTCATTCCCCATGCTATCTCATTCTTTTTCATTATTATTTGTATTTTATTCTTTTTTTATTATTTTCATTATTATTATTTCAGATTATTGAAGGTGAGGATCACACTCGCGTTAGTCGTATCAATCTCATTGATTTGGCTGGGAGTGAGAGATCAGCCATTTCAATGACATCTGGGGAAAGATTAAAGGTCAACAATCACTGATACTTGTTTGATACTAATACTAAAATTGAGCTTGATTATTATGTTG